TAATGAACAGCTTGGGTCCACACGTGCGATACATATTGTACTAAAAATATAAGGAACTAAGTGTATCCCGTTAGGCCGATCAAACCCTATCAATGGACTCAATGGGAAAATGCTATAGCGCCGATCGATAGTCAATCTGAACAGTTGAACTGGAAGCACCCAACAATACGTTAATCGGCCCAACGGGAAACACGGAACAGATAAGTTAATAATTTCCAAATAGAAGACGTTGATTATACTAAGCTTGTTTTAGTATAACTTTATACGACAAATTAACTCTAAAAGACTTCCTTAGTAACGATGAATGAAAATTATTCTGTTTACGATAAATTATTTGCTTGTTATAACATTTTATTTGTCAACCAATCCTTTACCTCTGACGTACTTTCTCCTGTGACGTAACTCATAAGTCTGTCGATATTTAAAGAAAAAAGAATAAAGAGGTCTATTATAAAAGCAATTTCTTTTAACCGACATCGTAAGCATGCAAATGCTATTTTTTTCGTCTTCTACACGTTAGACGTGAAATTCGAGTGAACAATGCCTTGCCAAACTTCCTTTGTTCCTTTTACGCCGACATGTATTTGGTAGTACATATACGTAGACTGGCGCCGTATTACTGGTCAAACAAGAGATAGCACGCAGAATTGACAATTTTCTATCAGTGTATATTGTTTATTAATTCAAAAGTTAACGTACGAGATAGAAACAATTTAATGCGCAATAAAGTAAACAACTTTAATTAAAACAAAATAAAAACGATTAATGTCTGAATAAGTATTTAATTGATTGATTGATCGAGAATGTATAAATAAATCTTTAGAAGATGTAGGTATGTAGAAGTAATAGCAAACGCTTACAATATTAGTTGATTAAAAGACCCGATATTTACATCACCATTTTAATTAAATCAGTTTTGAAAGAAATAATTTATAACCTCCCGGAGGCAACGTTAGTAAATTTTGTTACTCTTTGGCATGGGATTTGTAAGTGTGCGTTAGTTTCAGAGCACACCTACCGACCGTCGCGCCAAAATTGCGGCCGATAGAGTTTATGCCCGCCACCGAGTGTCAAGGACACGCGCGCTTCTGTTGCTATGTTCGGAAACGAGCGCCAACGAACTGCTTTGTACACAATCTTGCGCTTTAATATCTACTTAATTATCAATATTTAATTCATTTTAACCCCAATAATATTACAAACTTAAAGATTCAATTGTTTTTTTTTGTTCATCAAACACAACAATAAGTCAAAGTGAAAAATCTTACTTCTTACCAACATTATAAATGCGAAAAGATGTATGGATGGATGTTTGTTAGAGTTTCTAGGCTAAACTGATGAACCGAACTCCATGAGATTTGGCGTAGACATACAGGATAGTCTGGAACAATACATAAGCTATTTACTTTTGTTTATTTGTAATTGCACGCAGACGGAGTCAAAGCCGCTAGAGATATAATTTAAAATTAATATCGACTTTCCGTATATTCGAATATTATATACTATTCCGATATTAGATTCTTAACTGTAGATATTGACAAAATGTCCTTCAACAACCGAAGAACAACGAGCGTCCAACAAATGGATACGTGTTGTCCAAATCGCGTCATTATGTTCCTATATTGTTAGTTTGAATGCAAGAATGTACGTGTAGATTAAATAACAATAATGTTACACTAAACTTTATAATGATACAATTACGTAATAACTGCCACTGTGAAAATCTACTTGAAGAAGAATAAAAAAAACTACCACTCTCTTATTGAAATAAGCCGAATGTTTAAAATGTATCGAATTCCTAAAATAATTCAATTAGTGACATAGCCATAAATATAAATATATGCAAGAATCATTAATCAACAACAGAAGGTAAATGTCAATCAACTTTTAAAACTTGCCAAGAAATCGAACTCCGAAAATGTTTTAAACCTAGCGCACACTGGGCGTAATACTGTTTTTCCACGCGAATATTTTGTGGCAGAAATGCTAGTGCATCATACATAGCGATTTTAAATCTATAAAATCTATGTTGTGTGTGAAAACCTTATTTCTATTCATTCACAAGTCGATCGGTTACAGTCGCCATTACACAGCCTTGTTTCTGTTTAGGGATTATCGTTTATTAGATAAACATCGATGTTGCCATATAATAAATTATCTTCACATCGATGTCATTAACATTACATATTAACAGGAAGTCGCCACGGTCATTTGAGCATCGATTTTAACTCGATTAATCGATGTCTATTTCTGTATATATTATCTTAAAGTTGGAGGTTTAAAAATTAGTCAAACTGCATTCTTTGATTTTAAGGTAGAATTTGGAAATCGTCATCTTATGACGGGGATCGAATCCACTCCGATCGATACTTTTAATAAATCTTCTTCGACGAACAATTCCTTTATTTTAATCCAATTACAAATTAAATTCATTCGCTTATATATTTGTGTTCCTGCCACTTACTCGTAAATTATACGCAAAGTGTTTTCCGTTGCAAATTGTGGATTACTTGTCAATCTTAGGCATACGTGTTAGCCGCAGGGCAATGCCTGGAGGCATAGTTAAGTGTGACTTATACACTAATTGACTTAGGTGAACTTTGACACCGATTTTTTAACAAGGTTTTTTTATGTAACTGGCATTACTTAAGTGTAAAGTATCAAAGATCGATGATATTAGTAAAATTTCTTTTTCGGTCTTTTGTGACAGAATTGTGTTTTATCGGATAATAGATATCTTTTTATCCGTACATAATAATAATATTTTCAACACTAACTAGCTATGGTAACAAATAAAGCGTTTTAAACAGGATAAAACTGTAATAAAACTAACGCAATTAACTTGGCACATATTAAATCGTTAGTAGAGACAGAGCGGGCGCGGCTAAACTAGGTTACCCATTTCTTGTAACTTCACGCCGGCCATCGGAAATATAACGACTGGTTACACCTCCATTATGTTGGTAGTTAAGCCCATTCTGTATTGAAAATGTTTCCCCCTTAACGCGTGGAAGGTTATCGACTGTCCTTTTCGCTCTTGTGCGTTTAAAAGTAAGTGAGAGCAAGAAACAATATGACGTATCATATGTACGTATACATAAACGTTTATAAAGTCCTGGTAGTTCTGTAATAAAACTAACACTAAAGTAAAAGTTAAATGCACAAATATTTGCATACTCGTCTGTCAATATACGGATACTGTTAACTTTTCTCAGCCCCCATTTTATTGCAGAAAATATTATCATATAAATTTTTTGTTCAATATTTTGCTTCACTTAAGATATATGGTATACAGGCCCACGCAAATCGACCGGATACATATATTTTTCGTTCGCCGTTTTTGTATACGGACATCCTACAGCCAGTTCGTATTTGCATATAAGATTAAATTGCCAAACCCACGCTCTATAGCGGCAGTAAGCTAAACAAAATAATCAATAAATTTATATACTCCGTACCTTACATTTCGTCTCCTCTCCTAGCTACAGTATAAAAAGTATCTATTTCGCATTTCATAACCTATCCTCATGTTTTCACAATAAGTATTCTATATATACAAAACTCTGTGACCTTATTTACAAATTCCGTCTATCTTTTATATTTTTATAGTCAATTAACTTTGATATATTTTGCTTTTTGAAAGCCATTATCATTATCAGTGTCTAACTACTTCGACTACAATTTATTTGTTTCCAAAAGCGGTCGATGTATAGAAACATTGTTGAACTTTGTATGAGTCTCAAGATAAACTGTAATATATTTCACTTTCACTCATTATGCGAGACGTGTGTCAGGTAACATCTTGCGTGTCGTATGAACAGATGTGGTCTATTTGTTCAACAAACAAGCCATTCACTGTCGATCAATGTATTACGCAAAACGACACATAAATAAAAGAACCTATCTCTTAATATTATCTACAAAATGAAAGAGGATGGCACCGTGAGTCAAGATTTGACCTGGATACTGGCACTAAATAAATCAACAAGGAATTAAAGAAAAAAAGCTAAAATTCAAGGTGCTAACCTTAAAACGCTAGTCTATTACGACTCACAAAACTATATTTCTCCCAAACCGTGTTTTCCTCACCGCGATCAGAATGAGCAAAAACGTCGTCGGCCGTAAGTAGGTTACTCTGTCTTCGTGCTTTATTGTGTTTACGTGCCACAGATATGAGATACAGAGATACAGGCTGGGTCAAGGTGTATGCGAGACAGCTTTCGAGTCTCACGACTATATATGGCGGCTAGCATATTTTAGCTACCGTTCAACGTCGCCACAAATCATTTGTTCGGTCACGACGCGTCCCATTTGTTGCCCGACACCCTAATTTCCACATAATGCTGTCTAGAACCGACATCGGTGTCGTGTCTATTAATTGCTTAATCCACCGTCCTTATCCCGATCGTTTGACGAACAATGGACGGCAAACGCGGAAGACTTGAAATGCGTCGTAAAAAGCGCGTAGTTTTAATTTTATGGCCCGCATTCAATTGGGGCCAGTAAAAAACGTTTTATTGGAGTCGCATCCTGGCAGTAATACCGCGAGGTCGCGATGCTCGCAGCTCTAATTAAAAAACCCGATACTCGAACTTGCGAAAGCGCAGCAGACACGCACAATTACGGCATCCGTACACGCCCTTCATTACTCTTTTAATTAAATTTACCATATTGTCATTTATCACTTTTATATGTTTATTTTCATTAATGTCCTGATTGATAACATGAACAATTATATGGTCTTTGTATTCTAAATTGATGGACAAAGTTCTTAAGTGCTATCTTTTGTAGTATATTTAAGCAATCGTCTCTAAGGACTTCGTAGGTAGGCAAAAGTTATTGCATATTGCGATATGTATGCCAAATATTTCTTATAAATTATTTTACAAAATCACGTCGATGAAACAACACAAATTTACAAACAATCGACATTTTTTAAATATTTCAAAATCAATTTAGCATACGAATCAATATAATAACAATTGTGTCCTTTGTTTCAGATAGAACAAAACCGCCACCTACGTTACCCTCCCGTGAAGACTTCCGACAGTGAGACTTTTCAAGTGCCATTTGGAACCAGTTTACCATACAGTGATATTTAGCTATAGCGCTAGCACTCGCTAGCTAGGTGTAGTGATAGACATAGGTGAGGTGCTAATAGTATTTAGTGTTTAAAGTGACCAAAAAAGTTACGAAGCTGGCTCCGTACAAGGATATATTGAACTCATCTAGTATGAGCTCGGCTGTGCCAAGTATCAAGTGTGAGGAGTCGCCATCGCCGAGTGCGCCCCTCGGGGCTGAGGGGGAGACAGAAGGAGCATTCAAGATGAGCATCAACGTGAACCTCAGCACTGCCATGATGAACTTACTGGCGGCCGACAACGTGGGCCCCGCGCTGCGCACGCCAGAGATCGTCAATGACGTCATCACCATGACCAACCCATTAGACCAGTACAACTATAATGAAAAAAGTTCTACCTTCAAGGTTAGTGTTGTTAAAATAATTTTTAAACATATGAATCGATATCTCACATTTTTCAACTACTAATATTTGCTCTACATAAAAATCTAATCAAACCTTTTGACATGCTTTTAAATGCAAATAAAAAAGACCTATATAGATATTATTTTTATGTCTTAAACTAAATTGAATTAGGCCTTCAATAAGTTTAACTTTCAACGTTTTTAAATATAAAAAAATGTTCATATGTTTCGTTATTAAAATTAAGAATTCTAAAACTATGCAAGTAACATTGAGTTTTATGACCACACTAACTTAGGTAAATAACATTTCAAGATTCTATCAAGCCTTTAAAAGGAAACTAAGTTCTTTAACTTAGCAAGTTCACGCATTAAACAAAAGTTATCATTAGTTAGACGTTATCCTTTTGGCCTTATTTTTGATACAAACACTTTTGTATTAAAATTAAATCAACAACGATGTCCAGGCCTATTAGCCTATCTATTGTTAAAACCAACATTGTTACAAAAATAACTCTTTTTTTTCTATCCTAACAAAATTAAAATAGTAACGTACATAATATCCATTTAGCAATTATCAAATTAAATATAACTAAGCAATTCCGTCCATATTTTAGAATAAATTCCATATAAATGATAATCAAGTAGGGGTTTTTTTGCTGGCCTACTGACCTATTTCTAACGCTCAGTTGTTTTCAACAAAGATGCTTTGTCCGTTATGTTTATAGTGAAGCATCAATTTATATGAAATAAGTTATGGTGCGGTTTTAACTGCATAGAGTAATGTGGATTACAATTTATATTTATAAATACAAGGATACGGTCTTAACTAAATTAAATGAAAAAGAGTATTCACTCCATTCTACTCTCGTACTAAGACTCTATAACTTAGATAAGCCCACAATTGGTACGCTATCGTTCTAGACACTATTTAAGTACTTTTCTATATTTAAGAGTATCTTTCTAAGCAGGCGTCACACCTTTAACTAAATTATCGCATAAGTATTGTGCGATTGTCAATTGTTTCACAGTCCCTTCAATTATTTAGTTGCACAACTAAAAATCGAGTAGTGTGAGCACCTCTTTATTACCTCACAAGCTTTCGCCCGCGAATCCGTCCGCGTGGAATTAAAAAAACAAAAGTGAATAGCCTATGTGTCCTTCCAGACTGTCCTCTACATCTATGCCAAATTTCATTAAAATTCGTTCAGCCGTTTAGGCTACAAACTCTAAGAAACAACCAAACTTTCGCATTTATAATATTAGTATGAAATACGATAGGAATCAAAGCGCAACTAAATAATTGTGCGATAGTTTTGTCAAAGGTGTGTGCGCTCTAAGTGGATTGCCTATTGCCTTCGTGCTGTGCTTGTATGATGGTCAAGTAGAGTTGCTATGAAAGACAAATTGAGTTGAAGTGAATCCTAATGCCGTAATCGAATATTCCTCATTAATTATAAATGTTTAAACGATGGCAACATTGTTTACAAGCCATGTTATACGGTAGTTAGGTCTCAGACGTTACGGCGCCGTTTTATCTATATTTAGTTAGTTATTTGCAATCTCGCGTCATTTGATGAATGAGATCTGTGTTCCTATAGTCATGTACGTACATTGTCGAGTGTAAAATGCCACAGAGAATTTAGAGCGTGAAATAACAATGGAACAATACATAATTATTTGTACATTTTAATGAATTGGTGTAATGATTTTTTGTTACAATGTTTTATTATCGAATTCCAATTATTGTAATTAAACAATTGAATGTCGATATGTGAAATTATTGATCTAATACTTCAGATTGTACAAATTTAATGTTTGAGTTATGCAGATTCAATTCGTACTTAGTAATACTTACTTAATCTTATATATGTGGAAGTTTGTGGATGGATGTTTGTTAGAGTTTGTAGCCTAAACGACTGAACGGATTTCGGTGAACCTTGGTATATATGTACAGGATAGTCTGAACGAACACATAGGCTACTTTTGTTGTTTTTTCATTCCACGTGGACGGAATAGCAGTCGAAAGCTAGTACATGTTATAAAATTAACATTTAAACATTAAGATTCACACTAACAATAAACATTGTCGAATTGTAGGAGTATTATTGACTAGGAAATCGTAAATTCCGTAAGAATTAAAAAAAAATACATTAGGCATATCGTAAACATGTTTGCGAGTAGATGACACCGAATTGCCAAGTTAATAATGTAATCAAACAAGGAAGGATGGAGGTCGTTTGAATCTGTTATTAGATAAAAAAACAATTTCCAATTAACCATTATTATTGTAATATCTAAGATATCTGAAACTGTAGTTAATTCTTACAGTATATATATATATTAAACACCGTTAGAAAACTTTAAAAAATATAGTATTTAGTTGCATCTAAGTACGCTGATTGTTTCCTTTTCGTCCTTCATGTTTTCGGCAGTCTGCCAATGTGTAAATATTCATCGTAGACCAGCACATTAATATTTAAAATTTATTGCTTCCAAGAAATACCGTTAATGACCAAACGCAAACAATATTACTTTTCTTAACACCCGTACTGAAATATACATAGAAATAAAAATCGCTTCACAAATCTGCTAAAATTTCTATAAGTACCTAAATATTGAAGTTATCGTAATTTTAAGGACTACTATTAAATATAAAACAGCAATGTACACAACATAAAACCTTTTAAAAAATTTAAAAGTAAGTAAATAGTAAGTTAAATTAAGTATTGTCATAAAATTGGAATAACCCGCAAAATACTTATTCATCTAGTTATAAGAATATAAACTTTACCTTTTTATTTTTAATCGAATTATTGGTCAGGGTACAAATTTTTAATAGCATTTGTCTTTACACCTACCATTAACAACAGAGTAAATTACTCTTTGTTATTATAATGAACATACTAATGCTGGGTTTCTGAAGTTTCCACTTATTTTGTCATTGCCTAGAGATTCATTATTGTTAGGTTGACCTATGTTTCAACGGAGTAAAACTGAAGTTACGTAGTCCGGAAACGCATTTCATAAATTTATCTAACCAAAAACTAATGAATGGTTAATACAATACCGGTAAATTAACGTTGGGAAACCGGTCATAGAACATCGGTGGTCAACGAAGTAAAACATTACATTAGAGGTAGTGGGGTACGAGTGAGCGCGGATTCATTTCCTCTCATGTTGCAGGGCGGAAGCGGAAACGACTCTAACTCATCGATGTCCAACGGCTCGTCCGCCACTTCTCCGGCCTCTGGTACTCCCCCCAGCATACAAAAGGTAACACACTTTTATTAAATTTGTAAACAGGGTATCTGTAAGTTATCCATATGGGATTTAACACAGAAAGAATTATCTAGAACTGTCCTGTCTTTGTCATATCGATACTAATAGTTATAAATTTGACGAAATATAGGGGATGCCAAAATTTTCATACAGCATATCTACGGGAAATCTGTTAGCTTCATATTAAAGGGTATAAATAATCGCAAGCGTTTCTAGTGTTATGAGAAGGATAATGGAGAAACAAATGAATGAAATGCAGATAAGATAAAACGCAATTATGAGGAATTAAGATTTTTCTTATCATTACTCGAAACAAAGATGTTATAATCATTTCCTCGTAGAGCCGACATACTCGTATTTGTATTAGTTAAGTTTGGCGGAAGATCTTAATTTTACAGTCTATTCATTGAAATTGCGAATATTATTATCTCATTCTTAAATTCTATAAACGATTATAAAATATATGGGTAATGTTTATTGTTGCTTTAGACATAATAATGTAATGATATCTGACATCTTACAATATGTACAATATTGGTCTTTTATGATAAGGGGGATGTGATTTAATATGTTGACAATTTTATGCAATGTCTAGCTTTCGCCCGCGACTCCGTTCGCGTAGAATTAAAAAATGTGTAGCCTATGTGTTCTTACAGACTATCCTCTATATCCATATCAAATTTTATCGATATCCGTTCAGCCGTTTAGGCTAAAAACTTTAACAAACATCCATCCATCTAAACTTTCGCATTTATAATATTTGCACAATAAAACTCTTGTGTATTAAAAGCATTGCAATGTTTTTGTTCGCATAAATAATAATACATATGACTTGTTACTTAACAAATAAGTACTAAGCCGGATCTATGACACTTACCATGTTCCTTTTTTATTTACATTAAAAATAAAATAAAAAAGTGTTAGAAATTATATTAGATATATTCATAGCCTAAAAGCGTTTATATAGCTCAGCTATAACAAAAGCTATAATTTATAGACAATCGTAAATAGCGTTCACATTACGTAAACATGTCACATCCTGCATCTGTGTTTCTATTTTAATATTTCTTTAGTACACATCAAGCGAATGTTTTATTCATATTATAGCTTATCCAACCATCTGCTACACTTCGCGATTCCGGGAGAATCGAGGTCCTGGGCCGTTAGTAAAACATGGAAGATTTTCTACAATATATCATTTAACTAACGCAAAGTATTCTTTACAATAAAAAAATACACAGACGAATTGAGTACCTTCTTCTTTTGGGAAGTCAAAAATAATAACATTTGTAACACAAAAACATAAACAAAAAATTACATTTCTAATCAAAATCCTCGCCACAAACGCTCTACATTTTAGATGTCTATGCAAAAGTGCAAAAATGTATAGTTTATAAATAATCTCAAATGCAACACAATTGTTTTAATTATTCTTACAATTTTGTACTTGCAAATTGATAATACAATACTTTTTGACATGACATTGTGATTCAATTCCCAGATAAATACTTTGTATCAGAGCAATTTCTATGAACTATTGAAGCCTTTTTACCTACAGAGACAATGGACGGACGTTAAAATGTGTGAGAAAAAAACAAACACTTCGTCGTGATTATTATAATTGCAATTGTATATAAATTGCTATTGCATTCGCTTGTACTTATTCTCGCGTTTTATATAATTTGATATAGTATGTTATACAAGTTTATTCGTAGCTCATCGCAACCTTGATGAAATGATTCGATCAAGGTGTCGACCGTGAATCATTGCAGCATAAAAAATCTAAGAGCACGATCTTTTATCTGCAAAACACTTAAGTATTTATATTTTTTCCACGTGATTTAAGGAATCGAGAAAAATGTTACATTAAAAACTTAATTAGAAAAAGTAAATTCATTTTCCGCCATCTTTAACTTAAGCTTTATTAAAACTATATTGATGTACAACCGCGATAAATCGGGAACTTGACGTTTTTATTAAATACAAAAACTTTAGTTTCTTAGTACATAAGCTTTACGTTTTATTATAAAATGTAACTTTGCATAATTATGCAAGAACATTTCTAAGGCACGCGAAACACTCATTTCATAGTCAGGACTAAGCTAGAGACGGAGTTTTATGACTGTTGACTGCTTTCATGTTGTTTATAAACAATGAATGTAGGAATAATTAACCTAATTTTAATACTTTCATCTAAAACTCGCAACTTGTTTTTATAATGTAACTTTCGTCATATAAAACAATCTTTATTGTATTTAACTATAATAAAAATGAAACAAAGTTATTTAAAGTATCAGTTAATTGAACTAAATGTTAATTTACACTCAGTGTATGAAATACTAGGTGTTGCGACTTCGCTCGCGTGTAATTAAAAAAAAAAACAGCTTAAGTTACTAACTGGTAACATAGCTTTTTAATTGTGTAAAAATTTTTGAAATCGGCCCAGTAGTTTTTGAGTTATTTTACTACATACGAAAATACAAAACTTTCCTCTATACAATATTAATATAGATTAGTTTTCACATATTGCCAACCTTCTCATTTCGATTAAAAAAATAACGATATATCTTTGTACGTTTATTTCGCCAGTGGAAACGGTTCCATTCGATATTTATGTAAACTTCAATCGGTTAGAAAAATAAACAAAAGCTTAGCTCATTGCTCAAGTCGTCGGTTCGCTTTAAGTTATTCATTATTTCCTTTGCCACTTGAAGTGTATGTCAAGGCTACGACATCGTCCGATTGCACTTTATACAAATAAATCAAAGTTCGATCAATTAGAATTGAACAACCTTCAATTATCTTCGAAATCACAAATTGTGTCATAACTCGTCTAAAAACTTAAAATTTAGCAGCAGTCTCTCTTATTCTTACTTAATATTATAAATGTTCAGATAGATGGATGAATGTTAGAGTTTGTAGCCTAAACTGCTCAATGGATCTCGATGAAATTTGGCATAGTTGGAGAGTATCGTCTAGAAGAACACGTAGGATAGTTATTCTTTAAATAATAGCAAACGAAAGACCTTATTGAAATTTTTTTAATTTGATTAGGCTACGGGAGATTACAATTCACAACACATACTATGCGGATTTTTAGTCTTAGTATAAAAAGGTACGATTTATTTCTAACTACAGTTATATTTATAATGAAATTTCATTTCAGACTTGCTCGGATCTGATCAAGGCCGGCTTAAAGCTGTCGATAGAGTCGAAACGCAAGATGTCCGGCAGCGATACTGACGGCGGCCTCAAGCGCTTCAAGAAAGAGGACAGCGATGACGACTACGATAGCAGTCATACGCATACCGTCAAAAACGAAGGGGTAAGTAATGTGATTTTAGTAACTTTATATTAAAAATAAATTGGTTAAAAAATAATTAGTCTGGTGAATTAGTCAATTTTTAAGTAGCTTTTTAAAATAATCTGTAATTTAATAAAAAGTGAACGTTAGTTATGAGTGTGGACGTACACCGGTAGAAGTAGACCTAGAAAGATTTGGATGGATTGCGTGAAAAGGAACATCACCAAGAAGGCATGACTGAGATGACGTTTGATAGAGTTATGTGGAGGACAAAATCCTGTTGTGCCCCTACGACAGTAGGATAACGAGGAAGATGATGGATCAAGTAAAAAGTGAACTTCCTGCCTGTTTATAATCACGAATACTTGTGCTGCAAACGTTCAGCATAAATTATATCCATCGTACGCCATATAAACTGTACCAACCATTGAAGGTACCAGGAACTTAGAGACGCGAGATCGCGAATCGTTACTAAACCAGAGTTTATAGCGACCATCGATGCATTATAATTCAACGGCTTTATTGAAGTTTTATAGGCTTACAAAGAAGGCACCAGCATTGCAAATGCGATTGTGTTCGTGACAAAACTGCCAAATGGAAAGCGAGTGCGATGAGAAATTATACGAGTGGAGTGTTAGAGCCCTTGTTCATAGATTATTAATTCAACAGCTAACCCCGGAAGACGAGGAGCGCAGGCGACGCAGAAGAGAACGGAATAAAATAGCGGCAACCAAGTGCAGGATGAAGAAACGAGAGCGCACCGTCAACCTGGTCACTGAGAGCGAGGTTCTGGAGAATCAAAACCAAGACCTCAAAGCGCAGCTAAAGGTAATCTATTTTAAAAGGGTTATAATCTATACTGATATAAAAAGGAAAGATTTGATTTTCTGTATGCCTTGAAAAACTTCAAAACTTTGAGACGATTTTAAAAAATCTTTCACCAATAAATTAATATCAATTAGTGACATAGACTACATATTTTAATTTCCCGCAGACGAAGTTGCGGGCAACAGCTAGTTTTGAAATATTTCTTAATAATGCAAAGATTTTTTTTATTAAAGTGTTGCCCTTTATGATTATTTTTGTCATGTTCTTTTACATTACTCAATATTTGTAATTATGTTTTCAGATTAATCTGTTTTTATTCGCAAAACTCATATTAATAAAATATGTCAAAGTTTAACATGCAATCGTTATCTTTACAGGATTTGGAAGTTCAAAAACGGCAACTCATCGACATGTTATCGCTGCACGCAGGCTCCTGCGTCAAAAACAACTCCACGACAAGAACTTCTTCTTCGACGTACAACATGCTGCGTACTTACGAACCTCAGACATTCCCCGCAAACTTTGACGCACAATCACCTTACATCAGACCGGAGTCCGCTAACATCCTCGCATCAAGTTACACATGTGTTACACCACTTAATGGAGACTCTTCCATAGACACGATCTCTTCACTCGACAACACATATATCACCCAACAAGTAATAGACGTTGACTACAACCGACCAGATAGTGTACTCAGTCTTCCACCCAATTCTGATCAGCACTTTATTAACACAGACGGCTATATGCCTAAAGCAGCCAATTTACTCGTTCCCATCGAACACGAGGCCGAGTATTACGAAACAGAAGTGAATTACAACTTGTCATCCGGCCAGCCATGCCACACGTATCCTGGCACCATCTCAGATGCTCAAACGAAAATCGCCAACGGCCTAAACGACGGCTGTCTCGTTTAGCTTTCCACCCCATTACCATTTTCGGGTCCAAAATTCTCTTTGACGTGTATACGTATATTTTTAAGAAATTGCGAAAATTCGAAATATCACCGGCATTTTAGTTCTTACATAATCGTTTTTCTTTAACATTTTAAATAATATGTTTTTGTTGTCTACGTGAAATGCACCGCCCGTAACGTACGTAAAATAAAACAGAAATTCAAACTACATTATTTTTAACAGTTATAATCGAGGGTTTTATTTCGAATCGTAAAGTATGTCTACTGTGTAGAACAACAACGTAGATTTAATAAAAACTGTAACAATAAGTTACTTTATGCAGTTATAAGGTCAGTGGGCGATTCGCCATTTTAATCGAGGTAGGTGCTATTTTTAAGTTGATTTTAATAAACTACGCGAACGTCACATAATATATTTATTCGTTCTTAATTTCCAATGTGTTGTGAAATAATAATTTCGAGTCACCTTTAACAACAGCTGCGACTGTGAAACAGTTGCTTATGCCAGCTACACACCTTTAATTCTTAAACCATAGTTTTAACTGTACACTTAGTACTGAGCAAATCACTGTCAGTTACACTGTACTATATAACTATTAGTTATAGTTTTGCTTGCACATACGCAGTATAAACTTTACAGTTAAAACTGTGCAGTCAAAACTAAAGGTGTGTAGCAGGCATTAGGTGGCGATGGTTTTAATTTAATTTAGTTGTTTAACAAGATACCGTATTCGTTTTTAAGTTCTTTAATTTTGCTTTGATCTGTACAAAATATTTATTGTCACTTTAGATCTGATTAATTATATCGAAGGTGCAATAGTTTAAAAGTTTAAATGACATAATAGTTACGCAGTGTCTAGTCTGTAGACACCAAATATATGTAACTGTTAACACCGATATTCTCTTCCAGTACAATAAAATGAAATACCTCCTGTTGAAATTCCGAAAGTATATTCTATGTTACACAAGTAAAAGGATTTAATATTCCACATTTATGTATAGGCATAAGATAATGTAGATATTAAGATGCTTTAACTCAGATGAAATCGTGATATGATTATTATTGTTATGAAAAAAATAATTACCTAATTTTTAAGTATTTTACATTAAAACGACATAACATAACTTAATATTGGAATTTAGGGCACAAAGTGTCACTTAACAAATCATTAAAAAAACAGAAGTGCCTCCATTACTCAAAGCTCTTTTACCATATTAAATAATAGTTTTGTAAAATATTACCATTTAAGATAAGCTTTTTGATGCGATATTTTTGAACATAGAATAAAAAAATATTTTAAAATATTCTCGACTGAGCACAATTTGAAATTTGCATAATAACTGGAGTTGTACTATTATGCATATATTGTTAATAATAAAAAGTTCAGATAGACAGTGCCTTTTGCGTACCAGTGAACCTAGTCTTCTTGGCTTCCTTTGTGATACAAACAGCCAGTCGCGCAAGCATTTATTTTTATATTATTATTGTGATAAAGTAGAGTACTTCAAAAATAAATTAAGCACAATCGTTCATGTTTAATCCTTAACGTTTTTTTTATTAAATTTTTATCACATTGAATTGTAACTATGCTTTTCTGAAAGTAAAATTTATTTTTTGTGAAAAATGTAATATTTTTAAATTGGTACAGACTGCAACAACATAAAGTAATTCTGTTGAAAAAAATGATTTGCCTGTTTAATAAATTCGAATACGAATAGAATTTATTAATTTCAGAGGAGCATAGTTATTGAGATCACACACAAAAATTGAATTGTAAAATTATGCAAACATTTTATTTTGTACACTTTATTACTGTAATATATTTTTTTGCTATTGTTTTTAACATAATGTTAAATTGTTTTTGATTCATGTATGTTATTTTTAAGAATTTAGTATCTTCTTAGTAATCTTGTGTAGAAGATTATCTAAGAATGGTACACATTTGATGGTGTTAACCATAATAATGTAGTCATTTTTAATTTTGTTTGTGTTTCTACCAAGTAATTGTGATATATTATTGAGAGTTAAATTTTTTTAACAAAACACATACGAATAAGAAAGGAATAAAGCGTTTATCTTACGATTTTTTTCTGTTTTTTAAGCATATAAAACATGCTTCCATACTTTGAAATCGATATTCAACATTAAGATATGATTTTTTTTTTTATTAAAATTTCGTCACAAATTATTCTTCCAGGAAATATGTTCTGAAAGAAAACGGCCTTACCAATTTTTAAAACTACCTTCAATAAAGATGTATGTAAGAATAAATTGTATTTTATATATATTCATATAATTTCATTGTCTTTTTAGTGTAAGACATTATTGTATTTGGAAATGAAATGATTAATAAAGTTGTTAATATAAATTTTATATAATTAGGTTTTGTAAGTGTTAAACATCACTTGTACCTGCTTCTTCAATATGAATATTTTGAACAGTCGAAGCAAAATTACTGCGCTTATACATTGAAAAATAAATCATATATTGCATTATAAACTTATTTAATTTTTTTAATTCCTCTATATTCCAATATCCTTATTTACCTTCCTTCTCCGATATGAAGTTTGGAAATTCAAAAAAACATAAGTTATCTAAGTTTTGCTTATAAAATATAATTTGTGTTGATTTTCAAAGTTTAGTGAACATGTTACAAATAATTTCGTAAAGACTAAGATTACGTTCGTAATATATTTCAATAAAATATTCAATGAAGTCTTACTAATATTAGTAATATTATAAATGCGAAAGTTTAGATGGATGGATGTTTGTTAAAGTTTATATCTTAAACGACTGAACGGATCTCGTTTGAAACTTGATAGAAGGAACAACTAGGTTACTTACTTTTGTTTAATTTTACGCGGGCGAAAGCTAGTAATAAAACGACAAATTCACATCGACGATATTCTTTAATATCACAATAAAATTTAAAACAATTTGATCTAATTTACATTACATAGACAAATATTACTATACTAGTAATAAAACAGCGTCAAATCTATTGAAATAGACATCGAAGATTACCTAAAGTGGCGCTACTCTACGGACACATTTAATTACAAGTCACATTTAGTGCTTTTATGTAAAAAATAATTAAAACTGAGTCGTAAATAATACGGGATAATCGTGTATTTGAGCAGATTTACCTGGAAAATAAATTATCAGGTTAAAACCACAAAGAAATAGTATACCAAGCACTAAATTTCTTTAGAATGTATGAGAGGTGACAAAATTGAATTATTCAAGACTTTAGTTAGTGGAAATTAAGTAATAACAAATATAAATAATACAAGATAAAGCAATTAACAATAAAAAAATGTTAGAAAATGAATAAAATGCGTACATGTCAAAGCTGACAGCATCTCCGGTACATTTCAAACGCTGGTGACAAGAGAAAACATAATTAAAGGTTTAAACATCTAAAACTTACTAAAAATAAGAATTTCTTGAAGATAAAGACAACATTAAAAAAATAATAAATACTTCATTAAAAAATTGCAGTAAGAAATTTTTTACTGCAATATTTTAATGAAATTAAAGTAGAAAGTTAAAGAAGTTAAAGTAGTTTGACCTTTACTCCATCATATAATATAATATTGAAGTTATTTAAGAAAACATTAAAATATATGAAATTAAAATACTTCATTATAATATTGTAGTAAAAAAATTCTTACTGCAATATTTTAATGAAGTATTTTAATTTCATATATTTTTCAAACTACTTTAAAGGAATACAAGTAAAAAATAACTTAGTCCGACCAAAAATGTAAAAAAAAACTCACCATGTTACGGAAAAGTATAGATTTTTTTTTTCATACATTAAAAAGTGTAATAAATTTTTATGTCGATATTTTTATATTCAATGAATTATTTATTGTGTATTATAATTAAAGATTAATTCCTTACCATTTCGCTCGTTTAGACCAATCTTTAGGTGTCCAATACAAACAGTCAGGATCGATCCGAAGCCATTTTTTCTCCATCGCTTTCTCATGTTGCTGTACAATTTCCTTTATCGATAAAAGAAATATCAGATCGACGGATAATACAATATTTTAACTTAAACGTTAAATAAACGATACCAGTTACCTGATTTACTGAAATAATGTACTGCCCTTTGTAATAATTGATTAGATTCAAATTCTGCAGCGTGCTTATGACGTCCTCTTTCTTTATGCTCGTCATTTCGCAAATTTCACTAAAAGGTTAACAAAAAAGAAAAGATGGGTTTCAAAATTCACATATTTACAAAAAAAATGTCTCAAAAAAATTGGTTATTTTTTGCGATGTTTAAGAATTGTTTTTCTTTTTTTTACAATAGACAAATATTTTCACAAGAGTTTTTTTTGCAATAATAATGTTGCCTAGTTTATTTTTTTTACTACAAAAAATCTGACAAATATTATCACAAGTGTTTTATGTTACAATTAAGATTTTTCCTAGTCTAGTTTATTACCACAAAAAATCTTCAATCATTTTTTTGTTTTTTTTTTTGGTTCTTTGTTATTGTTAATTGACTTACTTGATAGTAATAATAGGTTTATCGTTATCAGCGACGGGCGGCACGTTCATGAGAATGTCGAGTATGGTCTGCGCCCAGTAGCTGCGGTACGACAGCAGACCGAGATCCGACAGCGGCTTCTCTGGAGAACCCGTTTTGCCTTCGAACTTTGATAAATTATAACCTAGAAGAAAAAAAAACAAAGTAAACGTAAAAAAATACAGGAATACTTGGTTTTTTTCACTTTTAAGGATATTTTTTAAAGCTATGAATTTCTGTCTTCTTTCAGAAAGGTTACCCTATTTAAAAGATAACAAAAATACAACGTAAATGTAAAAAAAATACAGGAATACTTGTTTTTTTTATGGGTATTTTTTAAGCTATGATTTTCTGGTTTAGAACTGTGAGCTGTTTAAAGTATTTAATCAGATTTTCTCTAATTTAAGTAAGTAAAATACTATTAAAGTAGTCGCTAAGTCTCAGTATACTTACTAAATTCTATAAGTAGTTTTCCATATCCCTTCCTTTGGTATGGAGGTAAAGTTAAAATACACGCTACATTATAATCTTCAGTGCTCTCTTTTTCTTTTGAAAAATATCCGACTATGTGAAAACCTAGAAAATAAAGAAATCCAAATAAAATTTAAAACGAAAAAAAAATCGATACTTTCGTAATCGATATTTTTAGTCATTAAGTACTTAAAAAAATACAATATAAAGACAGATAATCGCTGTTATAACTGACCTCTTGCATCAAATTCCGTCATAACATAAAACAAAAATGGATCCGTATCGTAGTACAAAGTCTTGTGATCGAGGAACAGTTTCGCGAGAAGACACAAATTCTGAGCATAACATTTGTTCTTGCGGCCGTCGATCTCAAAGAAAGAGATACTGCCCTTCCTGTAGATCTCATTGCCCGGCGGGTGTTTCAATTTACATTTAATCTAAAAAAAAACTTTATTGTGATAAAAATGAAGAGTGTAAGATATACTGTGAGATAAAGAATAAAAAACATACCAAGTGTCTTTCTAAGCACTTTTTACTTTTCCTGTACTTCAAACAAAATTCACATATGTAAATACAAGGTAGGTTGACCATTTCCTGCAAAGAAAAACGCATGAGTTACCTCATCAAATAGAAATTTAAATATTTCATTAGATCGTGCGGCGTCCAAGCGTTGCCAACAATCGAAATTGGCGTCCAGCAATTGCCGACAAGCATACACGACATCCAATCATTGCCGATTATTGGAATTGGCGTCCAACATTTGCCGACAAATGAAAATGGTGACTAATAATTACCGCCAATCGAAAGTGGCGTTTAACAGTTGCCGACAATTGCAAGCGGCGTCCAATCGTTGCCAAAAAGCGATAGTGGCGTCCAACAGTTGCCAACGAGCGAAAGTGGCGTCTAATTGTTGCCAACAAGCGATAGTGGCGTCCAACAGTTGCCAACGAACGAAAATGGCGTCCAACTGTTGCAAACAAGCAATATTGGCGTCCAATAGTTGCCTGATAAACGAAAGGTTCAGAAAAACTGGCGACAAACATCTGTAAGGTAAGGAAGACTGACCTGCGGGTAAGGTGCGAAGTACCAGGGGCGTATCCTGTGGCGGCCCAGCTCTATCATCTCGATGTTCTTCATGCGCGTGACGAGGTCGTCGTGTCCGTGCGCCACCATGCTGCCGGACTGGCGCGGCCGCGCGGTGGGCGTGGCCGTGCCGCTCGCCTGCTCCGCGCCCGCATCTAGCGACTCTTGAGGCGGTGGCTCCTGAATTCAAATTACACAACTGACTACCAAAGCTACAATCATTGCAAGATCGAGAAATGACAGCGGAATTTAATACATAAACAGTAAAAAAGTAGGACAAAAGACAGATGAAAGGCGTAAACAGCTCACGAGAAAAAAGTTTAGATAGCTCAAACAACTGAATCAGAATACTTAGTCGATAAATCTATGCTAGTATTATAAAGAGGAAAATTTCGAATTTTTGGATTTTTGTATTTAAATAACTCAAAAACTACTGGGCTAATTAAAAAAAAAATTCACCATTAAAAAAACATGTTATGAGTGAGTAACATAGGCTGTATTTTTTTAGTATTTCTAATTTCATGCGGGCGAAGTCGCGAGCAACGGCTAATATAATGTAATTAAAAAAAAAAGAAAAAATAACGGCCAGAACAATAAAACACCTAACAGTGTTCTGATCTACGTTGGTATGATAAGAGTTCAGTTTTTTCCCACATATATTTCGTTGGTCGTTTTTGTTAACCTCAGTATCAAGTGAGTTTGCTTTCCGTTTCCTGTTGATCTTCTTCTGCAGCGCGGCGGCGAGCACCGCGCCGCCATTCACGAGGGTGTTGGTCTCCGCCACCAGCGTGGGGCTCGCCGGCCGCGACACCAGCTGCCGGGGCTCCACGGTCACAGATATAGCTGAAAAAATGTTGCATAATATCTATTTGGAAAAATTAAAAAAAATGGTACGTGTTTCATAAATTGAAAAAAAAAATTAAATAAAACATTTCGTCCATATTATTTCAATTATAATTCATTTGTCAATTAAATAAATTTGTCGCGAGAAATAAGAAACTACAAATATTGACTAAAAAATAAAATTAAGTATATGAAATAGGTTGAATAAATTATTGATTACATTAGTGTGTTTAATTTAAATAAGTTTGACTATTAGAGTTACATTATGTATCGAGCAGATTATTGTCAAACTAATTTAATTTTTATGACTAAATATGTTAATATCTATTTTTTCTATACTTTTAGAGACATGCAGGAACACTGTTTTAATGCATCTCAAGTAAAAAGTGATAATAAGGTGCCTATTTTTATACCTTAAATACAAGAATTTTGATTTTTGATAAGTTTGTGTTATATATAAATAAATAACACACTGTAAAATGTTATACATAATTTTTTTTTACAATAAATAACATACCAGGTGTATATTTTTGCGCGGAACCATTGAGGGCATTTGTACTATGTATTTTTTCAGGTAATTTTGGTTGCAGTTGTTGTTTAGCGCCCGTCTCTCGGTGGTTACTGAGAGACTTCTGGGGCTCAGGGCAAACATTATCATCTGCCAACAAATTGAAAAAATAAATTTTGATTACAATATAAAACAAAAAAAAAATTCAGATACAAAAAAACATTCGGATTTTTAACTGGAATGTGGCAACACTCAGACAAAAAGTCATTTACGTATAAAATAGTTCAAAAATATAGTTTTGTTACATCCTAATTGCCAACATATATTTAAAAATTTCAATATAAAAAATAAACCAATCAAATTGGCATATTCATCAAAAATAGCAGTTAGTTTACACACAATAAATTTTATGGCACATCTATTCTCAAATAGAATTCTACAATTTTTATCACAGAGCACAGTAAAGTTTTTTATTCAATTTTATCACTGCAAAATTCAATAATTTATCCATAGTTAACACATTCAGTTCTATTGACTAGCTAACTCGGTTTACTTTCTTATGAAAAAATCATGTTCCGCAACATATTACAAGGATAATTGTATTTTTATCATGCTTGGGAGCAAACTACTGAACAACTACACACAAGAAGAAAAATAAGAATTAACGAACATTATTTAACAATACACTAATATACAAGTGCAATACACAAGTTTTAACAATTAACAAGCAATTAAGAGTACATTTAAACATTTATAGAAACATATGTAAAAGACTGTAGATTATAACCTAATCAACACAATAGTAAGGAGAAAAGAAAGTCCATGGGCCTTTTTTTGGGATAAATTTCATCAGAGTTATTTACAGTAAAAACATACATTTAGAAAATCAATTTCCAATTACATCAAACATGTTATAACCCATCTTAAAGGGTATATATTAATGCAGTTGACATTAACCATGAGTTTTTTAAAAAACCTTATAAAACATGATTATCTTCTTTTGGTATTGAAATACCTAAAATAACACGTTCAAACATTGATTGTTAATAAAGCAAAAACTAAAACTCATTTATGTACCGCTATATACACAATGCGTCAATTTCATCTATTTTTATTACACAGTCTTAATATTATATTATGGAATACACATATACACATTTCGTTTTTGTCCATAAATCTCAAATAAACCCCGATTTCTAAAACCATTTATACTGTGCGCTGTGGCATAGTGCAGTGACAGTTGCCTAACATTGACATTTCTCAGTACTAGACTACTACGAGTTACTGCCCTGGTCGAGGTTGCGGTAGTCACTGAATGTGAGCAGCATGAGACCGGGCATTGTGGAAGTTAATGGGCAGGGCTATATTCAGCAGTGGACGACCTCAGACTGACAATGATGCCAGTTACTACAATTGTTAATGATTTAGTGTATTAAAAATGTGGTATCGCTGAGATGAGCGACTAAGCCTTCATTTGTAAGTTGCAGCTTCAAGAGTGTAACAAAACACTACTGAAACTGTCATTGGCACCATGCTGCGCATATAATATATGAAAATCTGTACTACATGACACATAGAAGATAAAAAAATTACTGTTTAAAAGTATGCCATACCATAACTGTGATACTAAAGAAGCAAAACACACATACTAATGAAATGAGGCATTATGCCACCTCCTGAACCTATGTGGGTTTTTTTCGGTGTGGTGCTGCCGCCAGAGGGTGCACCATCTCGCCTAGGAAACTGGACCTTCCTTGTATCCAGCCATGACTCCCCGACCCATTCATCCAGACGTTTGTTAACTGAAAAAAAGTAAATTGTTTATGATAAATGTTTGATGTACAAAAAGTAACAAGTTTTAATTTTTGTTTTCATTTAATGTTCATACTGTGTTGGTAATCAATTTTAAAATAATACGATTATTTTTAAACCTCTCTAATAATGCTATCTTCTCATATAATTAGCCGCATTCTTAAATAAACTTATAGTACTTTGGTGAATAAATTGAAGCAGGTGTTGGTTTAATAAAAATCTTTTTTTTTTTTAGAAAACCAGGACGCAATACAATGTTCATATTGTTACATACAAGATTAATACATTTAGTAATATTAGAATTCACAAACAACCTTTTTTATTGTAAATTTGCTTAGATTTATATTAGTGTTCTAAAAAAAAAGCACTAAGACGGGAGAACCCTAGCTCCTACAAGACGGGCCTAGAGCCTAGTGTAGGAACCAGGCGATCGACCACAATTGTATTAAAAGAAATTTTGCAACTTTATAAATAAATCTTTTAAATCATTTTTTTTTATTTTTTAAATTTCAATCTTCTAGGCATGTTATAAAATATCTCTGATTATATTTTATTATGTTAATACTTACAGTCAACATAATGTACATAATACCCTCTTTGTCCTCGTATTTCTTTTATACTAATAATTTCCGCTAGTGGCCAGTCATCGCCTCCTTGCATACGAACTGGCAAGCGACATCCCTCCACCAACGATGCCTAGGAGTTGAGTTACCTCATGAGTACACTTGTCACAAATTGTATTAATATTTCAATAAATAATTATTAGCATTTATCGCTGTTACCGCAGAATCACAAAATGTTGTAACTTCATCCTCGTTTTCGTTCATTTCACGTTAAAATTAAATTAAACGTGAGGTAAATACACACGCTCATCAAATAAACATCTGTCAACTGTCAATGTCAAATCCACATTTACAGATTCCACACAACAATTGCCAGTTTTATAAAGAAGACTTACCTGAGAGTATACGGACTAGAAAGTATTTATTGATATCACCCTAGGTTTCTGGCAGTGCATTTAAAAAATCTTTTGAATAAAGCATCACTTCAATCTCTCTTTTTCTTATCTCAACTTTACTTTTAATATTATGTCTGTGGCTGTAGCTTCATACTTGTTTCTTCTGTCAGAAAAAGTAAAAATCTAACCTCAAAAGTGAAACTGAAATACTGGTGAACAAAATTTTAATTGTTGTTCCTATTTTATAAGTTAATAAACCTTATATTCCTAATAAAAACTAAAGTATAACAAAGATACAGCCTTCCATTAATTTTTAAAAAATGGCGGCACCACCTGAAATGAGTGAAGCTGATCAAATTAAAACGGTATAAATCTCTACTTAATCATTCTTAAACATCGTTTACTAAATTAAAACTCTCTTACAAAAATCGTAATTTTTCTTTTCAGTTCAAGGATTTTCTAATGCAATACAACAAGTTGTCAGAATTATGTTTCAATGACTGTATTCATGATTTTACTTCGCGAACATTAAGACCAACTGAGGTAATCAATTTTATTAATATATATCATTATACAATGTTACTATAAGTTGTATACTGAAAATTTACGTAATTCTCTTTATATGCAGATACATTAATGGACAGTTAACCTAATACTTATGCTTTTTTCCAAATACTCAAATCTGTTTTATTTTCAGGAAAAGTGTACTCTGAATTGTATGGAGAAGTATTTAAGGATGAATCAGAGAGTTTCACAAAGATTCCATGAATTCCAGATGATTGCCAATGAAAATATGTTAGCGTTGGCACAAAAATCAGGCAATCCTAGCTAGTGAATTATCATATTATAGTTGCATTTCTTGCATTTCTTATTTAGGTTCTTCAAATGTTAATGAATATAGTGTTGTTGAATAAAAACCGTGTTTTAAGTTGTTTCACTGTGATATAGTCATAGTAATTCTGTTAATGGAAATAAGAGAACAATGGTTTAAGTTACTTCTATAGTAATAAATATTTTAAAGTAATTTGGCCTTGTGTTCATAACAGATTAAATGTTTTCTCCCTATTGTGAATTTCCTGTGCTAAATAGCTGTACAAAAAGCATAAAGGTGTTAATATATTTTTGGAAGTTTGTGAAAAATATGTATTATTGAAAAAAGAGAATATATTATTACTAAGTGTTTCCATATATTATAAATTACCACATTTATTGTAATCTCCAAAAAACATTGACCTTAACCAAAGTTGAAATACTAACTAGCTGTTGCTTGCGACTTCGTCCATATGAATTAAAGAAAAAACCATGGCCTATGTCACTGTTAATGTAGCTTTTTAATGGTTAATGGATTTGGCCCTGTAGTTTTTGAGTTATTTCTATATTTACCCTTTATCCCATAAATAAAACAAGAATGCCAAGTTAAAACTGTACTTTTAATTTTGTAAAATTAATAAACAAACAATTTTAACTATAAATTTAGCATTTATATGTGTCACACAGTAGGCATGAGATACTTTTCTTCGGACAAGGTTTAAAACATTTTGGGTTCGGTGGAGAAAAGTCGAGAACGAATGATGCCTGGGAACTTGTGTAGTCAAATAAATAGTCATTGAATTTCGCCTCTACAGAGTATTTCACTTTTCCTTGTTCGGCATCATTATCGTCTGGAGAGGTGTTAAGAACGTATTTCAGTGGATAAGGACCCGATGGTGCGTTACTTATTTTTGAAGGTTTCGTACAGATGTTGTATTGGCCTCCATGTCTCACTACTCTAATGATTGGTTGTCCGCAAGGCGTTTTGCAACAGGAGGTGGCCGATGGGCAGACAGCCGCGCACTTCGGCACAAAGCAACACGGCTTCATGCAAGGCGGCTTCGAACAAGTGGCGATACAAGACGTGCATTCTCCACTCTTCATGCAATTGTGTCGTTCAATTTTCCTGAGTACAGAACAGGAAATATGACCTGGCCGCCAGCCGCATCTCAACTGGAATAAAATCGAAATAGCTTTAATAAATATGACCTATGTTACTCACTGGTAACGAGGCTTTCTAATGGCATAAGAATTTTTGAAATCGGCCCAGTAATTTTTATTTATTCCAATACATAACAAAAATACAAATCTTTATAATATTGGAATAGATATCGGTTGCGGTGACTGAACCAGAGATATCAGTTACATGCCACACAACATTATCTAGGATTGATTATTTGCGAATTGCGAGATACTTGGATGTCATTCTATACGATTATGTCTGTAAAATACTTTAATTTCTGCCAAACGAATATATTTCTGTTATAGTGACAACGCAGAACATTTTGTGTTGAAACAATTACTTTGTCTTTTATTTAAGAAACGTCCATATGAATCATTGACTAATGCACGGAAAAAAAATGCAGTCTACCTACCTAAGGCCATCCTAAACAATCGATGCGAGATCCGGCTCCGTGACAAGGCTAGCCTACGTATGTTTATACTATTTTTCAGGGATTTCCTAAGACGGATCTGTACTGACCTGATGTTCAGGTGCATCCTTTGCCGTGTAGTGCCATCCCATATGTCGTGGCACGGGACCTGCTTTGATATCGTCTCTGGTAAGACATCTGTGCTTCGGCAAATCGCAACGTCCCAAACAACTCACCGACGCTTTATTGCCTTATAAAAAAATTAAGTCCTCACATTAAAGTACTTGACAAGTATATTCTAATTTCTTATAAATAAATAGTTTGACTACGTAATTATACGACTTTTCAATTATTCATTTTACTTACATTTTGCCTTACAACAACATGCCATTTTCGTTTTAACGTATCTGAAAAATTAAACATAATTTTCACTGCAATTATTCGCAATAAGAGTCGATTTAGCTTAGACTCTAGTTTTTTTTTTTACATATTAAAAGGCAAACGAGCGGCGGGACCACAAGTGGTTAACGACGCCCATGGACATCCCAACCAGAGGAACTACAGATGCGTTGCCGGCCTTTGAGGAAATTGTAGGCTCACTTCTTGAAGGACACTAAGACGTATTGCTTACAAAGTGCACCGAGTTAAAGTGTGGGGTACTCTAAAACATAGACCACTAAAATATGTAGTCAACTACGAAGTTAGATATTATAAAAACAATGCCCGGGTACCTAGGTCATCGACACTTTACCGTTACAAATTTACAGTTACTATACGGTGAAGAAAAACTATTCGGCAACTAAATTTGATTTACTGATTACTCATTTTTTGTCGTGTAATTATTAATGTAATTTAGTCTTATATGGGATAATAAACAGTAATTATTACAACGAAGGTTGAAATAGCTTCAGTTATTAACTTACATTTACGTTGTAACGTTCATAATAAGCTCTTGATGTTTCATATTGCATTTTGATATTTAATTTTCTCCCAATGCCATGTTTCTGTGAGACACATATTAAAAAAATATATATTTAAGCCCGACTTTTTACATATTGTTTTTTTTTAGAGTTATTCACAATTTTATTAAAAAAATATAGGCTGACAGAAGATAAATGTCAGACAAGAAGATTTCGTAAGAAATAAAACTGCTTCTTAAAGGCCTGTAATTTTAGCACTTCACTATGAAGTTGCTTGTAAAAGTTTTTATTCCAATTTTATCTTCATATTTCGGTTTCAATTAGCAGCATTATAAAAATCATAGTGCACATAATATAGTGTTAGTTTTAATAAATAATAACATAAGGATAGATTTGAACATATTCAGTAAATGAATTGCTTTTCTATTAAATTATGAGGTTCACTTTAGTGGAAAAAAACTCCAGACAATTGAATGGTGTAAAAAACATTTTTATCAAATGTAGAAAGTTTTATTTTTTTAACTTTAAATGCATGACGCATTATTGCTATAAAAATTATGTCACACAAAAACTCCCAGATGTTATTACGTATAACTCCTTAACAATTTTCAATAATTTATAGTATAAATATCCTATATTCTTACATATTCCTACATCCCACGTCATTTTAAATACGTACATCAAATATGGTTAGTTAAATTAAAATAGCTTAACTTGTGTTTACTCGCAAATCTGTTTTATTACTTTACGCTTAATATTTTTGTTAACATTGTCTTTTCATAATTATTAACATTTTTTCTTTTATCTTAATTTTTCTTGCGTTTAACCTTCTTGGTCGGAACCTCTTTTCTTTTACCACCGCAGGAAAAAGTCACTATGGCTTTCAAAGTGGCCAGTGTTAATACCAGTAATGTTGAGAACACCAGTATGATATCCAGATTGAGGTATTGATACAAAGGTACGTCGGCTGCTGCGGTTCTGTACGTGAAATTAGAATACCGCGCCGCGAACTCTGTCCAATATATCGCCGTATCCAATGGCGCCATCGGTCGATCGTGCCATGCTTTTGACAATAGTTTCACGTTGGTGCGGAATCTAGAAAAAAAAGAGGTTATTTTTGAAAATAGAAAGTGTTTAAAAATTTCTTGTGCGAATAAATATAACCTAAAAGTTTTGTTTGGAGAGTCCTGTGTTCGGAGGGTAGGCGTACGAGAGGTAAGGGATCTGTAATATTTCATTATTTAGCACTTTAAAGTGAACACTATTTTTACCTTGTACTGTTTTTACTGTCTTTAGCGGTTTTTACCGTGTTTTCGCCTTATTTTACATTATAGCGCATTATTTCGGGGCAAAGTGTAAAATTTTGTTGATAAAAAATTACAAATATTTGAACGTTGATATATTGTCGATATAAAGTGATAACATATTTAAAATATCTATTTTTTTTTGCATCTCTATCAATGATAATGTAAATTTTTTGCTGCGTCATCGACAATTTATTTATCTGCTTGCTTATTCTATAATGTAGGTAGTAAATGTACGAAGACGGAGTATTTTTTTGTTTGGTTTTTAATTGATTATTAGTTAAGGACGATTTTCTTTACTATTCAACATTCAGATATTGAAATATATATTCAGATTCAATATACAATGTTTACGGCATTAAAATTCCATTTAAGTTCTCAGAATTCGTAATAATCGTGACGACATCGAATAGTTTCTCCAACCGCAATCTCGACACGAAACTCGGTTATTCGAGAATATTCGGAACTAACTTGTTTATCATTTTCAAAAGTAAAGGTGTTAATTCAAGATTTAAATGTACTTCAGAAAAAAGCATAGTCCAGGAAATAGATAACATTTGGCTCTATGCTATTATTTTATGTCTCATAAAAAGTTTATAGTATTTTACTAAAAATCAGATAAAGTGAATACGAGTTGCCTTATCGCTGTAATAAACGGCTGAATTAAGTAATATCGAAAAAATGCTTTGTCATTGTAAATGACGAAATTATGTCAACAACTCATGCAATATTTTTGTAACTTACTTTGGATCCAAAACTTTTTTGAACGCAGCGATTAGATTTTCTTTATTCAAGTCTCTGACTTGCAGTTGTACTCCTAGGCCGCTCTCTTCTACCGCTGCAGCGTTAGAAGGTTGGTCCCCAAATACTGGCATTGCTACAACTGGTACTCCAAAGTGAATCGCTTCTGTTGTCCCTCCCATACCACCGTGTGATAGAAAAGCCAATGTTTTTGGATGTCCTGTCAATATGTTACAAAATTCTTTAACAACTGCGGAAATCGTTGTAGTTGCATGTGGTAGGATGTTGTAATTTATACAAATTTAATATTAGGGTGTTAGAAGAATTGCAATTGCTGATGAATAAACCATTAATTAATACTAAAGAGCTTCAAACATAGAATAGAATAGGCTCTTTTTATAAAAAAAATCTGAATTCAAAATCCTTGAAATAATTTAAATCAGCGAAGCATTTAACAAATCAATAAAAGAAATCATGTTACAAAAGTAAATATGTTTACCCAAAATATCGACTTGGGGCAGCCAATCAGCGAGATAGAGTTTATTTTTGTCGACGAGCAAAGTTTTATCTTCCCACTTCCAGACGAATCTCTGCGGCAATTCCCTAACAGCTGCCAGCACCGCGTCGAGTTTGTCGCGCGGCATTGTTGAACTTTTAATAACTGATCCGAAACTTATGTATATGACACCATGTTCCGCCGCATCGAAAAACTTTTTCAAGTCCTGCAAATAAAAATTTTTCGTATAAGAATTTTCCGTTAGATGACCTGTTTTTTCAAATCTATTGGTCCTAAGTTATTGATCGATTGTTGGAGCAATATTGGCTCGTTAATTATTAGCAGTGAATTATTTTATGCAATTTTTAACATTTTCAAGTTATCTGTATGATGAATTATTTAATTTATTAACTTGAACATAAGTCCTGTTAAGCACGAGCTTGAGAGGATGTTGTTTATCAACTAGAATTTGTTGTCTTGATCTTCGAATATACCTTTAATATAATATAGGTAAGTAATTACGATCAGCTGGCCTCGATTTTTAAAAAACGCATTTTATACAAGTATCTATCAATAAATATAATTTGACTAGCTGTTGCCCACGACTTCGTCCGCGTGGTATTAGAAAACAGACGAACTATGTAAATAACGTGTCCCTTGGGAACCGGACATTTTTCGGGGATGAACCTTATTCCATGTGTACTCCAGACTTTGTTTTATATCTGTACCAAATTTCAATAAGATATGTTGAACCGTTGCAGAATTATCGAGTAAACATCAAAATACGAAATTAATGCATCCCACGGGAACCGTAACTATTTCCGGGATAAAAAGCCTATGTGTTCTTCCAGACTATCCTCTACATCTGTACCAAATTCCATCAAAATCTGTTCAGCCGTTTAGGCTACAAACTCTAACAAACATCTATCCATCCATCCATTTAAACTTTCGCATTTATAATATTAGTATGATATTGGTATGATTATTACAAAAATGGTAATGATGAATACTCACTCCTGTTAACGGTTTGGATTCTTGTACATGATAACCGCCTATTTCTATAACATTAGCCGGGAACAATTTAGATCCAGTGAGAACAAAGTTATGATACAAAAGTAAGAATTTCATTTCCCGCGCTAAATCTTCTAAAGGAGGTATATCGTCGAAATATCTTGCAAGTGTGTTTTGATCGTTTCTTTGTGACACAAAATAGTAAAACGTTTTAAAATATGTGTCGAACACGACTCTTTCTAGTCGTTGTACGAGTGTCGGCTTAGTTCCACCTTCGAGGAAATGAAAGGACACGTAAGAAGGATTATACGGTATACCTAACCGATTGTAGTGCCAAGGCATTAATATATGGGACGTTATTCCCACGACAGGTGCATTTAACTTGTAAGCAATTCCTAAAGCACAATCACTATTAAAAACTTCAACAACAACAACATCGTACTTAGGTTTTTGCTTAATCATGTCTTGAACATCTTTATTTGCCAACATAACCTCGCAGTTTTCTTTTCCACTTGTAGTCAAGAACACTCCAACTTGTAGAACGGTCATATACGACCTGTCTATCGGCATATCGTCTTCTAATATCTTTATACTTCCCGCCAAACTAATATCATTATAATTCTTCGGCGGCTCTTTTTCTGGGAAGTGTGAAATAATTGTAACATTATGACCACGTTTTGCTAATTCTCTTAAATAAATTCTATGAACGAAGAAATGGCTCTTGCCCTGATACGGAAAGATGCCGAGAATGTTTAAACAACTTGCACTGTTTGCTATAACAATAACTAAGAAGGTCACCACGAGATTCATTTTAACGTTGCAAACGGTCGTCCGTTCGCGCGCCGGCGTGATGTGAACTGGAAGTGGCCGGTGACGTAATTAACTAGTTTGAGGTACAGTCTTGATTCATGTTTTATATCTTGTCAATGATATTACACTATTCACGAGAATGATAACGTTACGTTATTATTCTTATGTAATTATAATTAAACAATCCAAAGTATTATATTACTGTTATAAAAGTTAAGGTACACCTAAACTTGTTTTTTTTACTAATTCGTCATCATCAACTTGCCCTTATCACTTATGGAGGGTCGGCACTGTATGTGCTTTTCCATACATTTCTATCAGCCTTCATATCTGAGTCCAATCCCTTCTTAAGCATATCCTCTTTTACACAATCCATCCATACTCTCTTTGGTCTTCCTCTTCCTTTGTAGCCATCCACATTTTTTCCTTATTAATAACTACAAAATAGAGGTTTAATTTTACCTTATAGGATATCTTTTTTTCACTTTTAAACTTAGTTTTAGGTTAAGTACCTACATTTTGTGCAAATAGGAAATCATTAAAAAAATCAAGACATAAATTAAATTCAAAGAACCTACTAAAATACTTCCTGCCTTCGTAACTACACAAATTAAGCGGATACTTAAGAATAGTATTTCGGTATATAATTGGCTAATAATCCAAATAAGGGCACAATAAAACTGCATCAAAAGTTTAATCAAAGCTGACAAAACTACCGCGTAGGACCTTCACTCTTTATTACATAAATAAACTAGCTGTTCCCGTGTGAATTCATCCGCATGCAATTATGAAAATTTTACTTTATTGTTTACATTTGTCAAATTATCAATAGCAAATGTCAAAATGATATGACATCACATGACAAACCTTAGCAATCTTTCTTTGTTGATGTTGGCAGCAACTTATGGTCTCTTTCCCACATTAGGGTTTTTATCCAAAACATTTACCCCCTAAGTTTAATGGCGTGAAAATATATAGCCTAAAGCGTGACGTAAGTGTAGGGCTTATTATTAAAAAAATAATTATTTAAAAATATGCTGTAATTGCTGACATCTTAGGCTACAAAGAAGTGTGTGTTTACGCTTTATTATAATAGTATAGATAGTATAGATAGATAGATTAAAAGGCAAAATAAAATTAAAGAACCCATAATATGAGAACCAAGAATCCATTAAAAATATATATTTTTAATAGTTCTTGAAATATCGAGATTAAATCTGTATTAGACTATTAGCTTTTGCCTGCGACTGCGTCCGCATGGGATTAAAAAAAATATCAAAAGTAGCTTATGTGTTCTTCCAGACTATCCTTTAGATCTAGGTCAAATTTTATGTAGATCCGTTCAGCAGTTTAGGCTATAAAATCTAACAAACATCCATCCATCAATCGAAAGTTTCGCATTTATAATATTAGTATGATTTTAACAGTCTATGTAATTATTAAGTAAAATATTACCTTCAGCGTAATAGTATCTAGGAATGGTTACAAAAACAAAGGTATTCGAAAGAACTACAACTAAAAAAGCGTAGAACAGTAAAAAGTACTTAATTGATTTAACAATTACTCTGAAACCTTGAAGGTTTAAATGTAAAAAGTGGCGCATCAATGGTCAATGATTAAACAATTTACAAAGTATAACAAAAACATAGATCAATTGAACATTTATATTTTAAACTAGCTGTTGCCTGCGACTCCATCCACATGAAATTTAAACCTATAGTCGAGTAACGACGATAACGTAGCTTTCTAATGGTGAAAGAATTTTTGAAATCGGCTTATTCAATACATACAAAAATCCAAAAATACAAATCTTTCCTCTTAATAATATTAGTATAGATGAAAATCAGTAAGTAACCTGACTACCTTAAGGAAATGCTGGGAAAGAAACCGGGCCTAACATCCCTGAAAAGTAAATAACTGAAGCATTTTTAAATCGATATTGTCGGTCATGCTAGGGTAGTTATTGAGTTGTATTGTGCCATAATAACCGAGTATTCTACATTTACATTTGTTATTACTTTCTATTGCGGTCTACTATTTTATTATTTACACTCTGTTCGTGATCATAATTTTTAATAGCTACCAATTTTAGATTTTTTACTTTTAATGTTATTAAGGAACTTCTCCAAGCAATATGGCGTTAAAAAGTAAATTATGAATTAAAGCAGATAAATTGCATTGCTTGTTTATAGTATTTATTTATACAAAGGTTTGATTGCGACCTTGACGTGCAGACTGCGTGCAATTTGGTGTGACGAATAGTAGTGTGACGTCAGATATCGGTATCATGTAAAGACTACAAAGTTATACTGTCTGCTGATAAGATGCATGCCGCAGTCGCCTGATACCGCGGTTTGTAATATACCGTGAAATCAAAGTGTTACCATGTGATATCGAAAAATTTATACGAAATTACACATATTGTCATTATTAATTTTACTTCTTACTTCATACTAATATTATAAATGCGAAAGTTTAGATGGATGGATAGATGTTTGTTAGAGTTTGTAGCCTTAACTGCTGAACGGATCTTGACGAAATTTGGCGCAGATGAAGAGGATAGTCTGGAAGAACAAATAGGCTACTAACTTTTTTTTTAATTCCACGTAAACGGAGTTGCGAGCAAATCTAGTTTCTCATATCAGGTGATTGAAATAGGGTTTTGGCGACGAAATTATGGCTAAATAATTTAGATGTTATCTTATTTAAAAGTACAATGCGTGTGAACGCATTTAAACACACTTGGCGTTGTAAAGGTCAACACTTAATTTTACGACTACCTGTTAATTTGTTATGTTTTAAAAATTGACCTTGTGTTAAAAATATAACGATTGTACTTTTAAAGGCACTTTCATTAAATTATGAATCTAGCATTTTCGAGATCTTAATTAGCTATCGTGTGATAGATAAAATAAAATAAGACCATTGGTTTTTTTAAATTAAGTTTATTTTATTCACAATCACGAGTATATTCAAATAAGATGTGGATACTTGATTTACGTATAAAAAACATGTCATTTCTCCTTATCATAGTTTTTTCTATTCATTATATTTCTATCAACGAATAGATACAATTAAATAATTAATTAACAAAACAAGAAACCCGACTGGTTTATAACCAACTCCGGAAAACATTCACTATTTTAATTGCTTCAATTGTTTAAGCTACCAGGAGCCATGAATACATATATACAAAATCTCAAACAAGAAATGAACTTGCATACTCGCGAAAACAACCCTTTGCCATTCGGGTAATAATACTGGAATTTATTCTCTCTTTGACTTCTTTTTATTATTCGTTGTTTTTGTCTCCTTTTTATTACCAAACATGTAGCGAAGAAATAGTACAATAATAAATAATGGTATGACCAATAAAATAAAGAATACATCTAGACATAGATATTGGTAGAGAGGGACATCTGCTGCCGCGGATCTGAAGGTAAGGTTTGGATAACGAGCGGCAAATTCGGTCCAATGTATTGCGGTATCCATACTCGAGACTGGTCGGTCTTTCCACGCTTGTGATAATGTTTTAACCTTCGCACGAAACCTGTGTATCAAATAACGTCTAAGTATAATAGTATATACTAATATAATAAAGCGTCATAACAGCATATTTTCGAATAACTCTTTTTTTGTTGTCACGCTTTAGGCTTTATATTTTCACGCCTTTAAACTAGGGATAAATATTTTTGATAAAAACCCTAATGTGGGAAAGAGACCATAAGTTGTTGCCGACATCAAGGAAGCAAGGTTGCCATGATTTGACATTATGTCATGTCATTTTGACATTTGCCATTGATAAATTGACAAATGTGAACAATAAAGTGATTTTTTTATAATTTTTATGCGGATGAAGTCGCATGGGAACAGCTAGTAATTAATATAAGTCGAGATTAATGAAGTATTCATATTATTTAAGTTAATAAGCATTAAGTAAGAATCGGAAATCAGGTTTAATTTAATGGATTTGGATTAAAATCATGTTTATTAAAGTATTATATAATTTAACAAGGTTCTCCTTGAGAGTAACTATTATAGATTATGTGAAAAAATCTAAAGGGATTAGATTAAGAAAACTCGTAAAATACATACAAAATTAACGTATTTGAGTTGACTTTATGTTTTTTTTGTATACAAGTTTTATTTTAACGACAAAGTTCTTTGTACTTTTAAACAATTTTGAAAAGGAGGAAGTTGTTTTACGTGCACACGTTCTTCGATGTTTCCCGTTGGGCCCGTTGGCATTTATACGCCAACAGGTCGATTGACCCATTGCGAGTTTTTCTCTGCTTTGGGTCAATTACCTATATAGACTCCATTAATCTGGGAAACACCCAGATTCGTCACCTTTTATTTAAATCATGTACGATTTAAAAATACTTACCCAGGCTCCAATATCTGTTTAAATTTCTCCAAAAGACCCTCTTTCGTGAGTTCCATAAATTCTATTTGGACGCCCAGACCGCTCTCTTCAATGGCCGCTGCATTTCCTGGTTGGTCTCCAAATATAGGCATAGCTAACATTGGTATACCGTGGTACAAGGCCTCTGACGTACCCAAGAGACCGCTATGTGAATAAAACGCCAATACATTGGGATGACCTGGTGAATAAAACAATATTAAATCAACATAACTCACGACCATAATGCTTATGGATAGACAGGAAGAATGCATTTTATTTTGTCGCGGTCCCAGCACAATTCTTTCAACTCTTTAAAATTTACCCATTACCCTAACTTTACCTATTATCATCAGCCTTTATCTGCCCATTGTTGGACATAGGACTTTACACTTGAATAAGTTAAAAAGTCAATCGATAGTATAATCGAATAAAAATAATTCACTATTAGTTGCAAGGCAAACAGATTAAAAATATATTCGTCCTCGATGTCAGTAAGCTAAGCTTGACTTGAATTTTAACAAATATTGGTTCCGCTGATTTTTTATGCTAATAAAAAAATGAGCCGTGTTATTATTCCAGTGGCGTTAAAAGACAATGGCTATTCAATACAAGACATAAGCCAATAACAAATACATTTACTCCCTCACTGGCGCTAGTTTTTCGACAATATACTTACATAAGATTTCGTTTTGTGGTAGCCATTTAGAAAGGTAGATATTTGGTGGATTTCCGGGTAAAGAATCTTCTTCCCATTTCCAAATAAATCTCTGCGGGAGTTCTTTTAGTGCGCCGATAATAGTCTCTATCTTCTCTCTGGGTGTGGTTGTGGATCTTAACATAGACCCAAAACTTATATAAATAACTCCATGTTGAGATTCCTCAATAAATTTACGTATATCCTGAAAATTTTCACTATTTATAAGCATTTTTTACTAGAGTATCGATGACAGAAATATCTTTTATACAAAATGCAAATAATTAAAAAAATGCAAATTGTATTTGTAGAATTTTCTTGTGAGATAATTAAACGATATTTCATTTAAGTAATTTAGATTATAATAATTGCAATGCTGTCATTGTAATAAATAATGATAATTAAGCAAGTTATAGCTTTGTTTTTGAAAATAGAATTGCAATAATAAACAAAAGTTATTTTAAAATTATTCATTACATTATACTCACATCAGGTAACTTCTTAGGTTTTTGTACATGATAACCACCAACTTCTATCACATTCTGTGGATACAGACTCGATCCAAAATGTACAAAATAACTATAAACCAGTTGAAATTTAATATTACGTCCTAATTCTTCCAAGGGTGGTACATCGTCGAAATATTGCGCTAAAGTATTCTGATCGATTCTTTGGCAGTAAAACTTATAAATGAATCTTAAGTAATTATCGAATAAAACTCTTTCAACTTTCTCATAGAGTGATGGCTTGGTGCCTCCGCTTAAAAACATATGCGAGACATAAGAGGGATTGAAAGAAATTCCGAATCTACTATAATGCCAAGGCATCAACGCATGAGAAGCTAGACCAATCACTGGCAATTTTAAATGATGTGCCAATCCTAAAGAACAATCACTATTAAACTGTTCTGTAACAACGATGTCGAATTTTGTCGTATTCCAAGCGTGTTGTACATTTTTATTTGAAAGCATGACTCTACAATTGTCAGTACCCCATTCTACAAGCGCAAAACTCAACCTCAACAATGCCCAATACGACTTTTTCACTTCAAACACATCTTCTAGAATCTCCGAAGTATTAGCTAGACTTATGTCATGATAATTTTTAGGGTTGTCTGTTCTTGGGAAATGAGATACCACTGTCACATTATGTCCCCTTTCTGCAAGCTCTCTGAGATACTGTTTAAAAACGAAGAAATGACTCTTTCCAGGGAACGGGAACAATCCTAATATGTTTAGTGAATTCACTTGTTTTATTTGGCCACATGTTATTAACACTAGCACTGAACACACGACTAAAGTGACTTTCATTTTAGTTACACTAGCGATACATTCATCGCGACAATCAAAGCCCGTCTCGTGTAATTCAGTCACGGCGTCGCTTTATATCTACTGATAAAAATACAGACGAAATGAGTACCTCCTTCTTGCGGGAAGTCGGTCAAAAAGAGATAACAATATATTTGGATAATAAAGTACTTCTTATTTGACATTTAATTAGCGTTGATATTTAACATCGCAGTTTAATTTACTGTTTGTAAAAGATAGTGTTGACCGTTATTATGCGACGATATTCAAAATATTAAACTCCATCTCAAATTATTACAGACTAGCTGTTGCTCGCGAATCTGCGTGAATCTATACTTCTTCTATAAATAAAGGGTAATTACAGCATATTTTTGAATTTTTTTTTTAATAAAAATTAAGTCACGCTTTAGGCTATATATTTTAACGCCATTAAGCTTAAGGGGTAAATATTTTGGATAAAAACCCTAATGTGGGAAAGAGACCATAAGTTGCTGCCAACATCAAGGAAGCAGGGTTGTCATCATGTCATGTCACTTCGACATTTGTAATTGATCATTTGACAAATTTAAATAATAAAATAAAATTTTCATAATTTCATGCGAAACTTTAACAATAAAAATGTATCCTATAAAAGTTACGTTATCAATGTATAACACATTGATAACGTAACTTTTTAACGGTGAACGAATTTTTGAAATCGGTAAAGTAGGTTTTGAGTTACAATCCATACAAAAATCCAACTATACAAATCTTTCCTCTTTATAATATTAGTACAGATAGATCGTTTTTTTTTATAATTGTACATTCTATTTAAATATCTGCTTGTTACATTAAATTTTACTAACAAAAAGTTAGTTTATAAACATGGGTTTTAATAATTTACTTTAAGAATTTAATTGTAATATTAAGTGTGACTATGTATGAAAGTATAAATTCTTTATAGATTAAGTAATGAATTAAAGCGTTCCCACGACCTCTAATCGTTTAAAGGTGAACAGAATAAAGATATCCATGTAGTCTAAATCTAGATTTAGACCTTGTACGAGACTAACCTTTCAGAATCGGTGCAATAGTTACCTTGATTTGGCAAACTAAAAACTGCTAAGCTTAATATTTAAATGATAAATATTAATTAATTTGTTATTTAAAATATTTTATAATCTAAACTGTATATTGTTGCCTGTGGCCCTTACCGTGGGTTTCCATTGCTTACAGACCGAAAAAAAAACATGTTGGCGGTTTCTTAAAAACACATCGTTATATGAAAAGTTATGGCACATTTCGTGATTTTTATTTTATTTATTTTAATTCAATGCAAATAATCATGCTTCTAAACAAATTCACAGCTGAAGGATAAAGGATAATTAAAACCGCAACTGGGAGTTTAAATTATTTTTCATTTATTAAATAAGAACTGTATTAAATTAGGTGTTTTTCTCTTTTTTCTTGTAAGTCTTTTGTTTTTTGCTTTTAAAAAAGGTTTTATACAATATACCCCCGATACAAATAATAGTAATGGGTATCATGGATAGAATAAAAATAATATCAACACAATAATATTGGTAGTGGGGGACATCTGCAGCTGGTGACCTGAATGTGAGGCTTGGGTACTTCGCGGTGAACTCGGTCCAATGTATCGCTGTGTCCATAGGTTTCGGACGATCATGCCAAGCCTTTGATAATAATTTAACATTCGCTTGGAACCTGGAAGTCATATTGTAATATAACACCCTAACTTACGGCATGAGGAAGATATTATATTACACATTTAAAGTTCTTGCATAAATACGTTGTTTATCAGTCGATTACATTAGTAGATTGGATTTCAACTGGAAATATAAATTCAATACTCAAGTTAAATTTGTAACAATCGAAAGACGCAAGGTTTAATAAGAAAGGAACCATAGTTATATTAGTTTAAGTATCATTTTGGTCCAACCTATTAGAGGTTCATTTTGCCATTAAAATTAATTAAAAAGGATTACAATGAAATAAAATATTTCAACGTTGTTAGAGCGTCATCTTATCTTACTTCTTACTAATATTATAAAGGCGAAAGTTTAAATGGATTGATTGATTGATGCTTGATAGAGTTTGTAGCCCAAACTGCTAAACGGATCTCGATGAAATTCGGCTTAGACGTAGAGCATACTCTGAAAGAACACATAGGCTACTTTGTTTTTTTTTTAATTCGACGCGGACGGAGTTCGGGCGATAGTTAGTTATAATTATTGATTGTTAGAAATCTAAAGTAACAAGAACTACTTACACAGGATCTAATACCGTTTTAAATTTCTTTAGTAGATTATCTTTAGTAAGATTTTCCAATTTTACGGTAACACCAAAACCACTTTCCTCTATGGCGGCAGCATTTCGGAATTGATCAGCGAACATCGGCATGCCCACTAGAGGCACTCCGTGATACAAAGCTTCAGTCGTCCCCAACATGCCGCAATGGGAATAAAACGCAACGACATTTGGATGTGCTAGAAAAAAGTAAGCACATTGTTCAAATTTTTAATCATTTGTTTAGAATATGCAGCATTAGGTTGAGGGGAAAAGACCTAGGCAGAGATCCGCCATAATTGTCGATTGAAGCTGATATATTTTAAATTGAAAATAAAGTTTTCACCTAATAAATCGTTCTGTGGCAGCCATTTAGATACAAATACATTTTAGGTTTCCCTGGAAGTGATTTTGCTTCCCATTTCCATACAACTCTCTGAGATAGTTCGGCGAGCGCGTCTAAAATCGCTTGCATTTTGTCTTTCGGCATCGAAGCAGTTCTCAGCATGGAACCAAAACTTATATAGATGACCCCATGTTTTGATTCTTCCACAAACTTGAGAAGCTCCTGCAATAGAAGCCTCGATTAACGGCTATAAAATGTCAATTTAAAATTGCAATGCTCTTAGTTGCTCCTAGTAATAAATATTAGCAACAATTAAGTAATAGGAATTAATTGGTTTGTCAAATCTGCACAAACTGTGAAAGTCCATTCTTTCTTTCGGCCTTTATAAATAAAGATATAAATAAAGCCTGTAATTCATATAATTTGTAAATGGTGTGATTTTTTAAAACAACATATTTATTATAATTGTCAAATCTTATCGTATAATCTGATTAAATTATGTACAATACTTACACCATTCAGGGATTGCGGTTTAGGAACATGGTAACCGCCAACTTCAATCACATTGGCAGGTAAAATGTTTGACCCAGTTAACATCATATTATTATACAGTAGTAGAAATTTAATATTACGACCTAATTCTTCCAGTGATGGTATATTATCGACGTATTTGGATAGTACTTTATATTCATATCTTTGTGTTATAAATCGGTAACTCAAATTGAAATAAATATGTAAAATGGTATGTTGCAAACGTTGCATTAGAGTCGATTTAGTGCTTCCGTCTGATAATAAGAACGGTATGTACGATGGGTTGTATGAAATTCCATAACGATCAAAATGGTACGGCATCAAATGGTGGGATGTGAGAGCGACAACAGGAGCGTTCAGTATATGCGCTAACCCTAAAGCACAGTCACCATTAAATTGTTCCACAACTGCGACATCGAATTTCATTTTTGTTTTCCATAAATCTTGTACCTCTTCATCATCCATCATAATGTTACAATTATCAACCGCCATATACGATAGTCCCAAAGAAGTAATAATATTTATTAGCATAGATTGTTTTTGGAATGGGACTATACCTTCGAATATCATAGCTTTTCCCGCCAAACTGATATCATGATAATTCTTAAGCGGTTTTTTCTGAGGAAAGTATGAAATAACTGTTAGGTTATGTCCTCTGCTTGCTAATTCTTTTAAATATGGCTCAAAAACGTTGAAGTGGCTTTTACCTTGATACGGAAACACTCCTAATATATTTAATGAATGAACTTCGTTGCTTATACATGTTGATAGTAGAATTAAATTTAATAACACTGACACGTTCATTTTATGTATTTACGATTTTCTATTATAAGTCCGTACTATTACAAACAAACTATGAACTGAATATTTTAAGCAATTGTTATCTTTAAAAATTGATTATTGAATTACATATCATCACGTATATATAGTTAGTTAAGATATAAAATGTGCCAAAAATATTTCAAGATAATAGGGGCAGTCATAATCATGACGTTACAGACGCCATATATTACGTAATTGGTTTGTATGAAAAGTGAAATACATATCAAATTTAGGGCTCATAACGAGAATTATGTGTAAAAAAGTTCAAAAAATTTTACTTAACATTTTACAAACGATCAAATTTGGCCAGCAAGAAGTATTACATTACTATGATTTTATGCAAAATTTTCGTTTGTATGATATTGCTATATTCATTATTACAGGCGTTTCTCCAAGCAACCCGTGCATGCAAGGAAATGTAGGTTCAGTGTAAATAGAATTGTCATGAATAGGTTGACTGGATTAATTTTTGCAAATTCCTTCTTTTGAATTTTTACTATATCCCAATAATTGTGTTGTTAGCGCCTGAACGAAAATTATTTGTAATTGTGCGTAAAAGTTGTATCTAAATTTAATGACATTACTAAAATCACATTATGTACTGTATATATTTACCTGCTGGTACGTAAATTATGAAAAATAAAACATCTAGGTTTTTCAAAACTTTTATCTTAACATCAGCATTATAAATACATACTCGTGTTTATTTAACTTTAAATTAAGTAATTGTCCCATTATCCTTATAACAATCACACAAATACTCTGAATATGAGATTCCTAATCAAATTTCACTCTTTTTTCTTTTCTTCTTTCTTCAACGGCTGCGTTTTGTGACGCCGCATCATTCTGACAGCAACAAAAACAACACACGCTTAATATTTTATACACTACATATGCTAGAATGTATAACACTATAGCTACAAATGCAAGAACGTCCAACTGCAGTTGTTGGTATAATGGTAATTGGGCAGAAGATGCTTGTAAGTTTGGTGCGCCGTTGTATCTGGCGACATATTCTGTCCAATATATCGCAGTCTCTAACGGCGACATAGAACGGTCGTGCCATATTTT